GGGGGGGAGGGCGGGGAGTAGCCTCTTGCCATTCAAAATTGACTAACGAGTGGAGCCGTAAGAACAACGTTAAAAGTACATTTTTCCAAAATATCTAAATGTTCATTGAAACTTGTATTCTTCATGGAGAATCTGGTGTAACCATGACATCAGTGTTAAATTTTATCTTTGTTACTCACTCAACCCTTCCTCATCAATTTCGAAATCGGAGTGGTGAGCAATGTTACTGGACTTATATACACCGCAAGCTCAAGAAGAAGTGACAAGGGCGTTTTAAACAGAAAAACAAGAGTACAATTTAACCGGGTCCACAAATTAGTGACAAAGGAGAGTTATTTTTACTGATACATCATGCGTAATTTATACACAAAATGATAACTAAAATGTGTCTGCCTTTCGGTTTAATGACTTATATTGACACAAACTTGAAAGATGTTTACTAAAAAGGAAACAGTATATTCCTGGATTTTTTGGCATAAAATTAAAATCCATACGAGGTGCCCAAATACCTTTTAACAGTTTTCACAGTTGACATTGAGGTCAAGAAAGTCGACGAGGGAAGTCAGGAAGGTTTTGATCCACTTGACTTTTCCGAAGCATCTGATTAGGTGCACCATGATCGGTTGCTGCATAAAGTTTGCATATTTGGGGACCCTGAACTAGAAACTTAGAAACAAGACGCATCAAGTGGTACTGGGATCTTACATCTATAATAAATAACCTCCCAGAGATGACCAATTTGCAATCAAGGTTTTCACTGACGACTGCCTACTGTTTTGGAGGGTTGACAATGTGGCAGAATCGTGCAAACTCTAGGAGGAACTGTCATGGCTGGTAAGTTGGGAAAGGAAGTGATAAACACAGACTTTCATCCAGAGAAGTGTTTTGTCATCCGGGTGTTGAAGAAGCGAGGAAAACAAACTTATCTCAGACTTCACCCTCTGTGGGAAAACCCTGGAAACTTCTACTTCGTGTAATGAGGAAGACGCAGTGACCAACAAGGCAACTCTGATCCTCAGTTTCCTACGACGCAACATGCAGGGATATAAAACATCGGCCTGCACAAGGTAATATGAGACTGTTGAGTATACAGCCTCATCTTGAGATCCATACACCATCAGCTAGATCCAACAGCAAGAGAATGCGCAGCTCCACTTGCAACATTGAATTACTAAGACCAAAGCCCCTTCTCTATAAACCAGTCGTTACGCTTACTTTCGTTCTCTGCATCCCTTGACTGTCTCACAGCAAACTTGAAGGCACGCGGCTAGCTATTTGATTGGTATCAGGTTAAAAAACTGACCAATCGTTAGGCTGATACTTGTCCTTTGAAGATTACAGAGGAGCGAAACCCGACTTTAAAGCCAGCCACTTTTACCTTTACGCGACCGACAGTTTCTCTTGATGTATATCAAAGGATCAAAGTAGCCTTTTTGTCTCTTCAACAAGGTGGTGCTCACTGAGCCTTCGATTTTGTTATGACACATTCCAGGGGAGCAGTGAGCGAAAGTGAGCGTAACCCCTGGAGTATCGAGGATGATCAAATACCGGAAAACTTACCCTCTGTGTCAAACAACCTAAAGCTAGACTCTTGGCCATCAGAGGGTGAAGATAAAGATAAAGCTGATGCTATTTTTTTTTTAGATCAAACTTACAATCAGTGTCTCGGGAACGCGAGGAGAACACACTTTCGAAGTACCGCCATTCAGGAAAAAAGTGCTCCAGACACTCTTCATCCCGAGACCCATCCGGTGATGGAACAGGCTACCCTGCTACGGCTCTCAACGTGGAGAGCCAGGAGATGTTCTAGAACGAGCTTTGGAAGATCACATATGTCTAGTCTGGTGGAGGAAGGACGGAATACAAAATGTTTAACTAGTTTTTGTCTCGTCGCCACGAAGTAGCGAGACTAAGGTGTTGCTTTTCCGGCGGCGGCAACATTAAGTTTTTGCGTTTAACTTAGTTTCACTGAAAGTTTAAGTGCTAGACCAACCAAACTTGGACCATAGATGCATCTAAGGTAGTATATCTCAACCCATGCATCAAATGCTGGATGCGGCCTACCTTTCATGGTCCATAGACTTTGACAGCATCTCCATCAACATTAAGTTTTTGCGTTTAAGTTAGTTTCTCTGAAACCATAAGTGCTAGACCAACCAAACTTGACATGTACATCGATGGTCAAAGCGAGACAATCCGAATGGCTTGTTTATTATAAATGTGCTCCCTTTGCTCCTTCGGAGTTTACAGCTGGACAAGCAGCTTGCGATAGGTTAGCCACAGTAGTGTACTAATAGTAGCCTCGCTCAAATTTGATGGGGTTTTGTCATTTAAAAGCCAATCGATTCAAGCAGCTGCGACATTTCACATTTGTGGCATATTCAATATTAACGATGTGTCCTTTTCTGGCTGGGCAACATCTCTCTTTTGGTTTTAAGGTTGAACGTTTGGCCAGGTGAGGAAGGCAATGGGTTCTGCCCCCTGGCCGGGAATACCAAAGTCCTTAAAACTGTTGTTATTCCCTGCTTAACGTTCGGCATTTAGGGGAATGGTAAAGGCTTGTTTACCCGTTGTCAGTATAATGTGACCGGGCGGAGTATCCAGAGGTAACACACGTGGTCGGTTAGGTGACCGAACAACTTTTAACTTCCAATCTTAGACCTCGGATCACTTTCAATACCATAGGGTTTTAATTGATTAAAACATTCAAATGACTTAGAAAGGTCCATAGGGCTAGGGGTTTTGTGTTTGGCCAGTAGTAACCTGGGGTGGATGGTTACAAAATTTGTCCAAATCAACAACATTGACCACAATAAGGGTCAAACAATCATGGGGGTTGCAAGCGTCCTTACACCGATGGTTTAATGTAAACCCCTTAAACGTCTAGGATTTGTTGTTTGGTTTAATTTTGTTTAACGTCCTATTTAACAGCTGATGTCATTTAAGGAGGTGCCTCCATGTGTGTAGTGTATGCATGCTTGCTTGTGTGTATGCAGGAGATAGTGTATGTTGGTGTGCTTGCCTCCTTGTGATAACGCGGATCTGATGCTGACTTTATAGTGCTATCTCACTGAAATGCCATGCCGAAGGCACCAAGCACATCATTCCGCCCGGTCACATTATACTGAACCAGTTGTTGCCATTCCCCCTAACGCTGAACGTTAAACAGGGAATAACAACTACCATTTTAAGGACTTTGGTATGTCGCGGCCTGGAGACAGAACTCATTGACTTCCTCACCAGGGCGAACGCTCAACATTAAGGCCAAAAGAGAGGTGTTGCCAAGCAAGGCGCTAGGAAATAAAAATTAGTTAGAAGTATTTTGGTTGCTTTTGTATCCCCAAATAGAGGACATCAAAGCAAATCCCCAATTCTGCAGGGGGTTCCACATTAGTCGCCACCTACCATACATGCAGTGTCTAAGTCTGGTGTCAGGGCCAGAGGAAACTCGGGCTAGTAACACCAGACATCTATCTGTCCAAGTCTGGTGTCGGGGCCAGAGGAAACTCGGGCTAGTAACACCAGACATCTATCTCTCAAAATGTCCAAGTCTTGTGGCAGGGCCAGAGGAACTCGTCTAATACCACCAGACATCTATCTGTCAAAATGTCTAAGTCTGGTGTCAGGGCTAGAGGAAACTCGGGCTAGTAACACAAGACATCTATCTGTCAAAATGTCCAAGGCTGGTGTCAGGGCCAGAGGAAACTCAGGCTAGTAACACCAGACATCTATCTGGCCAAGACTGGGGTCGGGGCCAGAGGAAACTCGGGCTAGAAACACCAGACATCTATCTGTCAAAATTTCCAAGTCTGGTGTCAGGGCCAGAGGAAACTCAGGCTAGTAACACCAGACATCTATCTGGCCAAGACTGGGGTCGGGGCCAGAGGAAACTCGGGCTAGTAACTCCAGACATCTATCTCTCAAAATGTCCAAGTCTTGTGGCAGGGCCAGAGGAACTCGTCTAATACCACCAGACATCTATCTGTCAAAATGTCTAAGTCTGGTGTCAGGGCTAGAGGAAACTCGGGCTTCATGAAACACAGGTTTATCGGATCTGAGTCCACTGGCACTGACCAAATCAAATGCAATATCCCAATAAAGCCCATATATACCTTCATCGATTGGGCTCAACACAAAGGCCAAAACGAGGCAATGCCAAGTAAGGCAATGTTAGGGGTAGTTACAAAGGGGAGATAATAAACACAGACCTGGGATGTTGTAATGTGTGCAAGAAGAGGAGGGCACTGACTTTTATATAGACATTAAGTATTCGTTGGAAATCTATTGGGCAAAATTAATTATCATTCCGGACTTATTTAAACAGAAATATAATACTTTGTGACGGTAAAATGTAATGCAGTGTTTTTGACATAAACTTCATTTTAGAATGTACAATGTAAATAACATAAGCTTCATGTGGTTAACTTTTATAAATCAAAATATGTAAAATTATGTTTTACATATCTTATAGCCCGAGTTTCCTCTTGCCTCAGCTGACACCTATCCTAATGGTAATACATATATGCGTATGTTGAACCAGACGACTTGCTATGTATTGCACGGGTATTAATCTAAAATCTAAAAAACACATTCTGGCTTGAAATCGATCTGCCATTTCACCACGCAACAAGGTTAAGGGGACTTTCTGTAAATGATCTCATATGATAAGCTTATGAATGACCTTTGAACTTTAACTTTTACATAAATATGATCACTGTATCTTTAATTTGGTTAATGGTTTTTAACCTTAACACTTACGCAGTCGAAAAGAAAAACGTGGAAGGTTTGTTTGGCCGTTTTACCAAAATTATGAATATCAAAGAAAGCACATTCGTTATATTGTATTATCCCGACGTATATAAAAACAGACGTCTAATATACGTCTCTGGTAAAAATAATACCAATTCCAACAGAGACATTCCACAGATACACAACGCGCGTGTCCATTAAATTATCGCCGCCAGTATTAACACTATCGTTATCGGTTATCGCAGCTATCCTTTTAGAGATATTCTTGTTAGTAAGTGAGAGTGTCAGTTGGGTGAACTTGTGGTAAAGTCAGTAAGTGGCCTCTTAACTTGATCAAATATACCAGAGGAAGGACATCTATATCGTTAAAAGTCAACACACTTCTACCGGAGAATCTGAAACGGCCTCTGACGAAATCGATAACCGTCCCAGATCTGGGACCCACTTGCTATACTCAAACACAGACATCTACAGAGCATTGACAAGTGGAACGTCGAAATGTCCATTAAAGATACTGAGCGGAACTTGGTTCGGACTGATTTGGAAGGATATGCACCAGCGTCCAACCTTGCTTTTAACGAGAGGATCAAGATTTTGATTGAACAGGGAGAAAAGGTTTATCATTTCGCTTTTGGACAATCACCATTTCCAGTAATAGAGACAGCAACGGAAGCTCTGAGGGAAAACGCTCATCAAAACGCCTATCTCCCCGTTGCAGGTTTGTGTGTATGTGTGTACCGTGTGTGTATTTTTTATAAATAGATCTTAACGTGATTTGCGTGGAATCCACGGGATTTTGGCTATAGACAACCCTGAACACAACCAGCGCCACAATATATAGACGACGTCTCAGTGTCACAAGGACCTGATAATGTGTACAGCTATGTTTGGACCTAAAATGTTTAGGGGTTTAGTCGATCACAGGTACCCGTCTGTCAGTACACACGGTGAAGGATACGTGTTACACATACTTTATGTCAATAATTCCCGCTTGACCTAGTTCTTTACTGACGTATAACCTATAATAGATCTTACGAGGCCTCCGTGAAATTGAAAGAAGGGACACACGGATCATTTATTACATAGGGTACTTCCCACATAATATACACATTCACAGAATATACAAATAATGCGATACATTACATAGGTTTCAAGAAGGATGTTACAAAAATTAAATGTAAGGCATTCCATAACTATTGGATCTGATGATTAAAGGAACAGAGTCATTATCAGATCAGGAAAGAATGGGTGTGTATACGTATGTCCTTTGAGTTAGGACTTCCTTTTTTATAGCAAATCTTGTGTATTTCTACTGCTTTTGTTTGGGGGGAGGGGGAGGGGGAGGGGGGCTTTGCCCCAGAGGCCGATTACCCTCTCCCTAGAGAAGGACTTCACCTCTGAGTCCTACCCTTCACAATTATAAAATTCTGGATCACGCTAGACGTCTAAAAATGGTCAAGGTCGCATTATGCATACAATTTAATTGTTAAAATTATATTCTTATGTTGATGAATTCTCACATATATATTCAACCAAATATACCTCATATAAGGTCCAGAGTTCTGATTTGAATTGTGTGATCAAAGGTCAAGGTCACAAGGTCATGAGTTGCTAGATGTGTATTGACTTTTAGTTACTGCTTGGCTAGAAGTAGTTCATATACTTTCCTCTACATAATGTTCTGAATTAATATGAAGGTCAAAGGTCAAGGTTGAATGTATAAATCCTTCCAAATCTTCTGTATTTCAGGATTGAGTTAACACTCATAAATCTATTTTCTATTATAGAAACTTCAATTTGAAGTAATGAGATAATTAAATATTAGGGGTCAAAGTTAAAAGGTTGAGGTCACATGTAGTGAATCTCATTAAGATGATAGGGTAAGATTTCACTAAAATATGTGAGGTCAAAGTCAAGGTTACAGGATCGCATGTAAAGAAATATTGTGATATATTTCTCTGGGTATGGCCATATAGATCCC